ATCTATCTATCTATCTATCTATCTATCTATCTATCTATCTATCTATCTATCTATCTATCTATCTATCTATCTATCTATCTATATATCAATTGGCTAAGTGTTTTTAAAAGCAGTAATTTAATTCTAATAAAATTTATCAACTGATCTGGGTCCAGATCTGGACTGGGATCTGACGTTTGGTAACCACTAAACTAGCCTCAACTGAGCACCAATAATACTGGGACAGGCCAATTGTTTTCGTTGTTGGAACAAGTGTGCCCATGTTAAAAGCATTTAAACACACTTATAAAAGTAGTTGCAGATAAGTGACTGATTCCTCTTCCTTTCTTCTTCACCGGTGTAACTGAAGGGACGGTGCAGAGGTCAGGGGTCAAAGTCGCAGCTCCTTGACAGTAGAGCCTAACAAAGGTTTTCACAGCAGTTCTCCACGACGGCGGTTAAACTCTAATGATGATGGACGCTGCTGTGGTGGAGAATCCCTGCATTGTTCAGGTGACATTCCTGCCAGTCATTTTGAGCTGCGTTTATCAGCCCCGCTTCTTTCCATAACAAAGAGCCGGGTCACCTGACATCCCAACTTCACCCGCTTCACTCAGCAGCCTCCGAGCTAAAGTAAACACACTGTTAATTCAGGATAATTCACCATAACGTATAGCTCCAGCTATATAAATTCCTCCTCTATGTCCCTCCCCTCCTTCTCCTAATTCCTTCCCTTTTTTAAATTGTCTTCTTTCTCCCTTTTTCACCTTTAGGCGTTTTTTAAAATGTGAACACAGATGCGACTTTTTAGAAAACGTGAGATATTTCTCCACAAAATAATTTACAAACCAACAAATAATTTTCCAGCTGGTGTACTTTTTAAATTTAAAGTGTTTTTAAGGGCTTAATGAAAGTTATCTTGCATTTGCACTAGAAACAGTTGTTAATCAGCGGCTGGCAGGGGTGGTAGACGAGTGAAAATATTAGTTTTATTTAAGCAGGGATCAGTGAAGCCCAAACTTCACTTTCACATAATTTCTCTCTTATTACAGTTTTAAACTCTTTAAACTGTTTTGTTGGCCTACTTTTTTTAAAAAGAAATTTATCTTTATTGGCGTTAACCAGTACAATAACTTCAAAAGAAAACAAAAACTGAAAACTTGTAACAGATTTTAAATAATACGTAGTTTTGATTATGGTGTCTTGTCTTTTCTGAACCGTCACATATTTTTCTGCTTTATAAAAGCTTTGCTGTTTGCTTGCAGAGAGAGGGTTAAGAGTCTTTTTGTTCTTGATATGACAGCGATGACATGGAAATAAAACAGTTCAGTGAAACAAATTGACCGATCCAAGAACTGGGATCAAGTGAGAGCCTGTAGTTTTAGTTCAAGTGTCAAGAGAACATCGCTTTCAAAAACAAACTCACCTAAAAGGCCTGGATCATTTTTGGTAATTTAAAAACATTAAAAAAAAATAAAGTGGAGGGTAAAAACTGCAGACAACTGTAATTTTATGTGACTTCTGGTTAATATTGCACATTTTAAATATTTACCTTTTGCATGACCTCGCTTTGCAGTTTTCACTTTTTTGTGTTGCAGAGTTCACGCAGCATGAAAGTCATTTTCACCACAGCTGTGGGAAAAGGAAAAATATTTATGTGGCGCTCATCGTCCATCTCCTGTCCGCTCTTCATGCCACAGTAGACGACATCATTCAAACTCTTATCAGGTAAGTCTTGCCCCCTACCCTGCAGCATCCAATCCAGCAACACCCCTCATTTACCTCAAACCTTTTTTTTTTATTCTGGGCCTTTGTCCTGTCCAACAATGGGCTGATCAGGGGTGCAGGAGGTACGAAGAGGGCAAAGAGGCAGTAAAAAGAAAAATAAAAAGAAGAAAGGTGGTGTTGATCTCTTGTTTTTTTACGGAGAGGTGATTCAGGTAAATAGGGGCTTTTTTTTCCTGTTTTGTTGAAGGCTGGAAGCACAAAGAAGGGGTTTGTGTGAGTGTGTGTGCGTGAGAACCCAGCCCCCAACCCAGGTATTCCAGGTCAAATCTCACATGAACATAAAACAGAAAAAAAGCCTTAAAAATGCAACTAACAGTTGTCCAAGTCAAATGGCTTTTCTTACTGTTTATTTTCATTTTTGTTAAATTTGCATGAAGAAAACTTGAATCAAACAAAAACTCATCCCATTAACAAAAAGTCCGAAGATCACTTGTCGTTTCAGTCTGTGTCATTAACTTACAGTATTTACATGTTATGGAATAATAAATACATATTTAACTGTCTGACCTTGCAAAGAATGAAATGACGTCAGCCATCAGCCGTTCTTGGTTTCAGTCGACACAAAGTAAACGTAAACAATCACCTGCTTCCCAGAAAAGCTACGCAGTTTACATGAAAATTCAAGGCTTTTCTATTTGCTTCTTAAAGAGCTCAAATTAGGTTCCTTCATTTCTTTTTCTGATACATTTTGTTGAGGTAAACCACACAGCTTTAAGCCACATAGTCACCTCCTAATACATGTCAAGTTGTCTGTTGATTGTCTGTAATTTAAATGCTTTTCTTTCCCCTTATTTTGCAGAGGCTTGAGTTAGAGCGATCTCATAGATTTCTTTTCAAAAACTCAGTTTCAAATCTATCTAACATGTCAGAGCCTGTAGGACATTAAAAAACAAACAAATAACATTAAATAACCAGCTTCCAACTCACTCTGCTGTTAAAAACATGTTCACCCATCCACATTTCCTCCTGCTTTGCGCTGCCATCTCCGCACAACTATTTTTATTTTATATTTTTTGTAATTAAATGTTAGTTACTGAAAAGAAGCCAGGCTGCAAAGACATAATAATACATGAAGACGTATTCTGAAACACACTGAAGCTCAGCAGCTTCCTCTTCCTAAAATCCAGCCTGAGGTTGGGTTTGCACTGACCTGGGTAGGCCTGGAGCTGTCAGCACCCCATGGGGAAGCTCTGACTGCTGGGAGGGAGAAGTCACCTGCATCCTCCCCGTCCTCCTTTTTTTTCTCTCCTGGGGGAGAGATCAGAGAGCTGAGAGTGGAAGGTGAGGACAGAGAACCTTCCCCCCCTTCCTCATAGGTTCAAAGCAAAACTTAAAAAAAATGCATCACCTACAACATTTAAAACACAAACTGTTGGGCATGAGTCATCGTGTTTACTACAGTCCTGATGGAAATGCAACAGTGAGAGGAAGCTTCATCCCCTGCGGATCACTGACATCACGAGAAAAAACAAACAAACACACAGGAGGTCAAAGGTCAGAAACACAATCAACCATCAATTCTCATAAGTTTATTGTAAAAAAATAATAAAAAAATAAAACAGAATGGTAGAATATAACATGCCCCAGAGAATTAACATCAAAGATATATCAGAAAAATCCAACAGTAAATGCTTTCATCAAAAAGGTTAAAAAAAATGCAAAACGTCCTCCTACAGACTAATGTGGCAAAGGTCAGAGACAAAAAGTAACCATACAGGTGTGTGTGTGTGTGTCGGTTGGGGTGGGGGGTGTATGAGCTCTGAAAGGGAAAGGCTCCATTAGAGCTCACCTGTTCTGACCCCTGCAGGTATGTCGCCATCCTTTCATTCATTCATTCTTTCATTCACCAGCTTCTCCCTCCCACCTTCTGAGAGCGGCCCCGGGGCTTCGCTTTGAACTCTCAACTGCACCGCTGTTTCAGAGAGTGTACACCCGTGTGTGTGTGTGTGTGTGTGTGTGTGTGTGTGTGTGTGTGTGTGTGTGTGTGTGTGTGT